AATATTATCATTAATTATTCTAGATGTTGAAAAAATATGTATAATTTTAATTGAAAAAAAACAGTATAATAGGTATTTTTATAATATTTTGAAATTGAAACTTTATATCATATTAAATGAGTTGTTTAAAAAATTGAATAGTGTTAAATGGTTTAATGTTTTTAATATAATAGGTATTTTTATAATATTTTGAAATTTTTTATTATCTGTCTATAAATGTCTTATAGATAATTCCAAACTCATTAAAGGAAAAGCTTAAAAATGAGTTGTAAGAGAGTAGAGGTTCATGAATATTGACTATATTCTTTCAAATTCTTTTAATTTGTTAATAAAGTGAGTTTAATTTTTTTTTTTATATTTTCTATATTATAAAAGTTGTTTTACTACTAAAAACTTTTTATCTTGTTCTTACCCAAGTGAAAGGGTAAAATACTAACGTTAGTTTTTGTGATTAGTTTTAAGTAATTAAAAATATATTTTTTATTAAAAAAATATTTTATTGAAATATAAAAAGGCAATAAGTAATTTATTTCTAATATATTTTTGCTTAAAATACAAATTAAAGACTGATACTAACAAAATTGTAAATGAATATTGCTAATCAATTATTCAAAGATACTTCATAACAAAAGAGTATCTAATATAGACTATTAAATACTTCTGAATAAATTTTAAATTATATGTCAAATTGGCTAATCTTAGTTTACAAAGGCATAATTACTTGTGAATATAAGCCTATTAACTTATAACTTATGCCCTGCATGCAAAGTGATAATTATACATAATTTCTACCCATGCTTTTCAACATCAAACGGTTAATTAATTTGAACCTTTTTCTACCCTTCTTTTTGTTATATTGCATATAAAATTTTGACTGTGAAAAGGATATCCGTGTTGTAAATTGTAAAAGCCTTTTCCTCTTAATATAACATAAGCTATAGGAACGTGATGCAAGCCTGAGACATTTGAGAATATAGAATTTCATGTTCTTTTTAAAAATCAATACTCATAAAAACTAGGGTTTTTTTTGTTATATGAGAAAAAAAAATTTAAAAAATATTAAAATATGGTGTTTTAAAAATTTCATGTTCTTTTTTAAATTAATACTCGTCTTTTTATTATTTTTTTTAAAAATTCCATTACTATTTTTTTTAGTTTTTCTCAAAAATCATCATTTTAATTTATCAAAAATTACTATTTAACGATTTTTAAAATTTTGTAACTTTTCATTATTTTATTAATGCTTTCATAAAAAATCACTGATGATGATTTTTAAACTGTATTTTTATAATTTTTTAAAAAAAGACCATGTTTTGGTATATTTTTTTTTAAATTCCATATATAAAAATTAATCCTACAAATTAAACTCCGTTTTATTTTACTTTGATAATTGTTAGCTTTGGAATCCTTAACCAACTCTTCCATTAAGTATAAATGACTTTGCTAATATTTGAAGTTATCTACGATAAAATCAAAGTACGTGAATATAAGGCGAGACTAATCAAATTTTTTATTAAATTTATAAATATTAAAATATTCCTTTGTCATAATAAATATTTTTGTATGAATTTTTTATTAAATATGTAATATAAAATCAACAAATACAAATAATACTAGTAAAATAAATAAAAAAATATTATTAAAAATACGATTAATGTATATTTGACATTATGTTTTAAATTTTTTTTATCAATCTCCTAAAGGTACTAATTAACAGAATACCATCAAATTATGAATAGAGTTTCTCCAACTAAGCTAACAAAAACTAAAAAAAAAATTCACTGTACTATTTGCTATTTATATCACTGAAATGAATATAGCGATATTAGTTTGAAGCATAAAAGCCATATAAAAGTCGAAATTATTGGAACTTTCTCTCACGCGTATTAAAGAGGAATCTTGTACACTTAGAATAAAATATGGTACACAGAACTCAATTATGGGAATAAGAAACAATTTAGATACAGTGGGTCTATATAATATGTATAGTTAGTTAGAACTACCAAATATGAACGGATAAAACCTGTGGAAAACCTCACTCTTGCCCATCAATTATCCACATAGGAATAGGAGTAACTTACACAATCATGCCTCCATTTCCAAACTTCGAAAGTAGACAAATTCATTCCAGAATATTTTTTGAAGTTTGATGCGCATATCACAGTTAATATAGAAACTTGCTTATTTTTCTAAAGTACAAACCTATTGATATCAATCTTTTTAAATTTATAAAAATAAGCTCTATTGATTTTTTTAATTAATTATTATTCATTCATTGAAATAGAGTGGTAATTTGCCTTGTAGTCTTTTACACAACATGATTTCAAATATATTTATTTTCACAATGCATATAAGTTGGAATTTCTGTTATATGATTTTTACAATCCCTAACAACTTCAACCACTTATAACTGGAAATGACTGAATTATTCCACAGGACAATCGATATATTCCAACGCGTATTATCTCTTTATTAGTTGTTTTTATATAATAAATTATCTTAAATATTTTTAGCTATTTTAAAAAGTAATATTAAATATTTATATGATGGATATTTTCTTTAATAAAAAGATATTTCCTTTCCAAAAAAATAAAATAAAATTTACCTACTCATATTCTGATCATGACGAAATAGAAACAGTGTTTAGCATTAAACCACCAACCCAACTTTCCAAAAATTGTAGGGTCCAAGAATCTGCCAACTACGGAAACGCGGACGTTAGTTCAAAAATACATAATAAAAAGTTATTATAAAAAAATATAAAATTTATTATGTATTAATATATTATTACGTGTCTTTAAATAATATATATTTTTAAAATTTATAAAAAATTGATATTTTAAATTAATGTTTAGATTTAGATTCAAATAAATAAATTTATAAGCCAATTTTAAAAATCAATGTTAATAAAATAAATAACAATTTTTCAAAGGATATATTGGGAATCTCTCTCCCTATTTTGTCAATGGTGAAGAAAAAAGGTTTGCTTAATTGCTTTGACAGGAAAGGGTAGTAACAGAAAATAGAGAAGCAGATTCACACGCATATAAATGACTTAGGAGTGTTGGGCGCGTGAAGTTATTTGGAAGACCCTCTCTCTCTCTCTCTCTCTAATTCCTGAAATATAAAGCTTAGTCTCAAATTTCATTTAGTGAAGGGAAGAGGAATACGAGAAAGCTAGAGCTAGCCTTCATTTGGATGGGTCAACGAGCATCACGTAGAACAACAAATAATAGCGGAGAGTTTGGTGGGGATGGTGAAGGTTCTGTTCATTCAAAAACACATGGGTGCTTTGCCATGGTTAAGGAGCATAAGTCCAGGTTCTATATTGTTAGAAGATGTATAGTGATGCTAATTTGTTGGCACAAATATGACAAACGTTAAATCCTTCAAATACCTTTTTTTTTTTTTTTTTTTTTTTTCTTTTCAGTAAAAATAAGAGCTCGTTTGTATCTCTACTCAAAACGGAGTTTTCTATAATTGAATTTTTCCTCCTCTCACGTAATATGATTTCTAACAGAAATATGCATGAAAATTTGTGTAAAATTAGTTTCATATATTAAACAAATAGGCTCTAAATCGTTTTAGTCAATATTATGAATTAACTCTGCTTGCTGCCTTAAATACTTGTGCATTGGGTGATGCAGATATTGCATGTAATCCCCCAAACTTGTTTTGGTTTCTCATTTAAATTTAGGAAATTGTAAATTTTCAGGTATCTCCTTGTTATATATACTAACAAGATACACATAATTGATTTCATATACAATGAAAAATAACTTTTAGTTCAAAAACTATAGGATGATGGCCCATCAGCGAATACTTAGTGGTACATACAGAATTAAGACGGGGCCAATTTAATTTCGGACGTGTATTTTACCGTTTTTTCTGCCGACACAATTTTATCACATAAACAGAATTGGATTAGAACTTAGCCGAGAACGAACGAAGGAATTGAGTCTTGTTTAGACGAAAGGATAATTTGAGTCCGGTTTATGGCTCCATTTAACCTCTTTAAGAAATGAATAATGATATTTGATGTTGAGAGAGATGGAAAAAAAAGTTGTACTAGCTAGAATTTGTATATAGAAAAAATCTAATAAGATACGGTGTATATGCGTGTCTGAAGAAAATCCTTGTTTTAGTTCCTTAGATGGTAAATATTGGCCATTTTAATATTTAGTTGGACAAAATCTTCACTTTAATATTCATTTTATAAAATTATACTTGTTTTAGTGTTTTTTTTCCCTAAAGTTAGAAATTAGGAACTGTACAAACATTCCAAGACCAAATCTATTCTTGTACTTGGTAGGTCTTATTTGTACAATAAAATAAACACAAAATCTCGTTAAATAGATTAATCTTACACCACCTGACCAGTCCTTGAACTTCATTTTAGTCATTTTTATTGTAGAATGACAATGAAAAATATAATAAAAAAAACTAATATGAATAATTTTACAAATTTAAACTAGCTCCTTCATGCAGCTTTTATAAACTTTAGAATGCTACTCTGATGATTCTCATCTATATTCTCGTAAACAACATTTGTGGATCGTGCTAAAAGATACTGTAGGAAAACCAAGAGTAGAATTTCCAATTTATTTAATGACTGAGGAGCTCATGTAGTATTTAGGCAATTTTGTACGTTCCAGTTACTAATCCATAACACTAATTTGAGTAAATGCAAATCATCGATCCTAAATTATATTTCCTTATTTGGTCAAACATTAAATCGTATCCAAATATATGTTTTGCAAGGAAATTCCCTTACAGTACGGCTCTTAGGGACGTGCAGCCACAGGAAGTGGGCCCGTTCTCCTAGGCCCACTGAGCAACAGTGAATCAGCCCAAAAAGTTTTACTCACCTACCAATCTAAAAAGTAAATTCGTCAAATAAAAGAGCTTGTAGGCTTTGGAGTTAACATCTTGAGCGGTTGAGCCAAGAAAGTATAACTTAAAAAATGTTATTTTCATTCATAAGAAAGCCCAAGGCCATAGATTAATCTTTTTTTCTTTTTTATTGATGATCGTGTCCAGGATTGCATACATACGGGATCATCGTTGTGACGTACCTTGTCATTCTTAGTATTAGTACAAGGTCTAGGGAATTTTAATACATTTGATGTACATAAACTGGGGTCGACCACTCTAATGCAAAGCTGTACAACACATAATTTTGTTACTTTCTTTCATTTCTATAACTTATACCCCGATATATTCCTGTTGAAAAATTATCAGGAAATAGATACCCACAAATTCTTCTTCAGAACTTACCTGTCATCACCACATGAAAAATTTTCAATATAAAATTAGACACCTAGACAGTCAAACTACAACAGACAGACACTTTTATTTTTTCAAAACATGAAATTCCAAATGTTAAAGTAGCCGAAAGTAATTTTGTATATACCTAACAAGCTAATTAGTGTTCATGAGCTGATTTACGAAGATTTGCAAGTTTGTCTCTCCATATAGCTGCAAAAGCCAACCAACAAACTTAGATGATTCCACAACACTTACACCCTACTAAATACTCATGAATGTATAAAATATTAAATACAATCATGCACAAAAGGTATTATACCTGCATCTTTAAATCTTTCCTGTTTGATAGCTATGTGCATATTATGCATCATACTTAGTTCTTGAGCAACCAAATCTGGTCCATCTACAGGACTGTAGGAAACATTTAGACTTAAATGATAACCCAGAATGTAAATAATGGGGCACTCAGTAACTCGTGCAGAGTCTATGGTGGCAAAAATGCCACATGTGACACAATAATTATACAATACCTGTCAAGCAATACGTCATAAATAGCCTTTTTATTATGCACTCTGCCCATTCCATAACCAAGTCTGATAGCATCTGTGAAAACAATTTGTTTACTTACATATATTGGAGCCTGCACAAATCAAATTTAAAATCATACAAGTGGATTTGTCTAACATCCATGCACAAAACACAGGTGTTTATTGGGAGTTTTGCATAATAACATATGTGCTACAGTCTTTCGAGATTCACTTTCAAAATGTAAAATTTCTCAACACATACTGGCCGGGTCACCATAGAATTCATACCTTGCATCTATTTGCAACATTGATGGCATCTGAGGGACGTGCATCCACACTGATAAGATCACTTTTCCCTGGCTGGAGGATTTATCAATTTTTATGAGCAATTTTATGAATGAAAGAGCACAAGATAAAGGTGTTATCATTTATGAATTGAAAAAGTTTTCAAAACCTGGCTAAGGTACAATCTGGCATAGTAAGTACTGACCACTCTCTCTGTAATTCTCACCATTATCACCTGAAAAAGTAAAGTGAAGGAAAGTCTTTTGAATTATGTAATTTGACACCAAATTTGTATTTGAAGGAATTAGATTGAACATGATAGAATTATAATGATACACTGCTATTGCTTTAGAACTTTTGAAAAAGGAATATGAGGGCTGATCCAAGAGATTGCCAACGTGAAATATGCTCTTAAGAGGACCCAACTAACTGTATCCAAATTGTACTTCTTTCTTTTTTAATATGGTTATTCTCAAACATAAAAACAAACATGCAATCGTTATTGATCTCACCCAACAATCCTTGGCAAGATAAAAGATGCATTTAGACTAAAAAGAAAGGTCATTAGCTTGTGCAGAATATCTTCCATAGTATTCTATAATTCGGTGGGTGGGTAAAGATGATGTGGGTGTTGAATTGCAAATAAGAGCAAGATTATATCTATTTTCTATGTACATAGAGATAGCATTTCATTATCAAGAAGAATGCATAAAAACCGAACGTTCCAAGACAGATAGTATATAATGACCTTCCTTCTACATATAAGGGAATCCCATAAATACAAGGTAAAAACAGGAAGCCAAAAGGAATGACGTGGAATAATTTTTGTTACTGGTATTTGCTATCGGAGCCCAACAAGCAAGCATCTGAATAAACAAAAATTAAAAAAAAAAAAAAGCAAATGAAAGAATATGCATAAAGCTTAGTTTCATACTTCATGGTCTAGTCTTCCAACTAGGCTTTTCACAAACTGAAACTGATCAGGGCAATCCTGCAATATCACCATTTCCTAAGGATTGGTCACAAATACCAAAACACAAAGTAAACAACCATTGAGTTAAGGGTCGAAAAATTACCCCTCTTTCTTGTTCAACCTCAGTATCTATAAGTTTTTCAACAGCAATCTGCCCTGCAGCAACAAAGAGATGAAGTTAATAAAACTTGGATCCTCTAAAAGCCCAAATGAAAGCAAAACTGCAAGACACATTAACATCTGCAGCAAGCACATACCTACAACAATGGGCAGAATATAATCCCCATCACAAGAAATCCTGAGAAAAATTGTGGGGTTCTGAAAACGCTGTAGAAAGCCTTGTCTTGATAAACCATTATCCGTTCTTGAAATTCTGTTCTGGACAGACAAGGGAATTGATGGTGTGGACGATTTCCATTGAAATCTATGCTTCCACATCTGATAGTGGGAAATTGTTTCTGCGCTAGTTTAAGTAATTAAAATTTCAGGGATGCATCATACACATGGATAGACCTAAACGATCAAAAGAACAAGAGTTACCACAACACACTACTGCCAAACGATTTCTAAATTTTCGTAAAAAAAATAAATATATAATAATAATAATAATAATAACTCACACACACACACACACACACACAAAAAAGGAAATAATTAACTTTTATTCTTTTATGGATAAAACATAAAAACAAAAGGTTGGTAATTTAAACAAAGAAGCATTGCATTAACACAAACACGATCGACCCAGGAGTGTGAGTAACAAAAGTTTGAATCTTCCAGAAGAAGGGTACCTGAGAGAAGTACGGAAGCTTCGAGATAATCGTTGTTGTGAGCATCATCGGAAGTGGATCTGCGCCGAGAAGAGTTACACGAAATGAGAATGGATTTGGGGCAGCGAAAGCGTCGTGTCCGAAGCACTGGAAGGTGCAGCGGCGAGAAATCGACGGCGACGGAGTGGGAAACGGAACGAACGGTGGCGGCATTCGTGTGATCGGCTGCGACGCACCCCACGCCGGAGATCGTTTGGACGCAGAATCGAGAACCCAGCATTTTCTATCTATCTGAAACGAAGAATCAGAGAGAGAGAGAGAGAGAGAGAGAGGGTGGTTGGAATGAAATGCGATGAGGAAACAGGAGGGTGCGAGTGGAGTTGATATTATTATTATTATTAGTTTATTATGATATTGATTTTTTGTTAATTAAATGGTTAATTAAGAAAAGCTCATTTTAAACTAATTGCGTTTGTTTGATGCTGTTGTTAATGGATGCGATGAGTTTGGTGATATGAGATTCTTATCGTAGCTTTTGCTAACATAACATAACTTTGCTTTCATCACACTCATGCACGAACTTCTTGTCCCTTTCGAATTTCATATTATATAAAGAAATAAAATAGATAGATTTAACCTATACACTCCTTATGTTCCATCTTTATAAGTAGTTTTAATTTGGAATTAATTTTTTCTTAATTATGCAATTAAATTATCGTTCGTTATCTCCTTTCGTAACATAAATTTTTCACTTTTATCTTTTTTTTTATCAGTTATAAAGTTAGCTCTCGTCGTAACAACTGTCTTTTTGCCAATAGAGATATTTTGATTCTGCTGATGTCGATATTTTTCCTGCTTCTTTCCACAAAAAAAGATCTAATTACTATTATTTAGCAAACAGTTTGCTGATCGGAATATCTTTATCTAGGTTTATCTTTTAAATACTTTAGAATGGAAAATTGCTTCAATAACATAATTATTTTTTTAATTTTTAATTTCAATTTAAATGATATTTTGAATTTATGAAATATTTTTTATTCAAGCTGATTATTCTAAATAGATTATAAGATAGATGAGTAAAAATACATATTAGATGTTATTTGACCTTTTTTTATTTCTTTCAAATTATTTATCATTTTAGAACATTAAAAAAGTGTTAATTACTTTTTTAACATAATCCATATTTATTTGAGACAATTTTTACTATCAGAACTAACTACTGCAATAGTTTTAAAATTAATTATTGCAATGATTTTATCACTTTAATAGAGTTGTTTAAGTAAAATTAATTTATTTTACCATAATTATTAATAAAAACATTTTTTTAAAATATGAGTATATTAGTATTAAGTAACATCAACATAAGATAGAAAAAGTATTATTAAAAGTAACACAAGCAAAAAACATAAAAAAAAATAGAGCTTAAATAAACTAAAATACAGCACTAGCCCAAAGGTTTTTGTTATAAATTAATATGATGAAGATTGTCACCTTTTTCTTTGAAAAATATTTGAGATTTCAGAAATTATAGTATTGTTCTTTAGGCTATGTTCGGTCTCCATCAAAGTAAAAGAAAGAAATGAATGGGGAAAAAATTGAGAACAATAATAGATATTTCACATGTTTGATTCCAAGTCAGGGAAAAGGAAAAAAATAAATAATTGTGAGACCCACCTAATTTTATTTCTCTCCCATTGTCCCCAGAAAGTTGGAGGAAGATGCCTTTTTTTACTATTTGACCATTACCTTTCTCTCCATCCAATTTTATATCATATAATTCATTTGTTTTAGGATTATAATTGTTTATTCGTGGAATTTTTTTCTCTTCACTTTTTTTGATGTTTGTCTTCTACCAAGCATTCTAAAAATCTATTAATTTCCTTACTACTTTCTTTAAAATTATTTTTCTTTCCTATTCCTTTTGTAAATCAAACAAAATGTTCAAAATATTCACTTTAAATAATAAAATGAAAATTTGCAGTGATTAAAAACAATGATTAAAATTTAAATAAATTACAAAATATACTATGAATGTGTACTTGAATTTAATTACAATCTCAATTGTTTATTTTTCAATTAATAATTGTAACTTCTTACTTTATAGAAGTCAAATCATATAATTAAAAAATATTGAAAAAATATTTAGTTACTTACTAATTAAAACTTAAAAAATATTAAAGAAGGTGAATTTTAGAATTGTTTTTTAGTCTTAAAGTTGAGGTTTTACTAACCTTACCCTGTCAGCCCTTCTATCTTACACTTTTGGATTAAATTAATACGAATTGATGCAAAAAAACAAATAATTGTAATTTGTTTTGTTAGTTATTTTTGTGAATAAGTTTACTATTAAACAAAAAAAATGTCAAAGTACTAAAATTATTGTATATAATACTACTGTTTGCATTAAATGTTAATTTAATTCAATACGAATTTATCTTCAATGCTATGAATGTGCCACAAAACATGAGGCATATATATAATTTGGCTAAGCCATACTCCAACTCAAACCAAGTAATGCGATTCTTGGGAACCAAATTGATCCCTGATCGAGAAAAAAACATGCCTAGAATTCTAAGAATTTGTGCAATTTCATTGGCTGTGCTCGGAGTATCATAGTTTGGTAGTTATCAATCTTGATGCACCTATTCCTACTTGATGTGATCATGCATGATAAAATTCAAAATAAAAAGGGTGTAATATCGTTAAATAAAATTTTATTAAAAATATTAATTACAAACAATATTAAAATTATAGTAAGTATATTCTTTTTAATATAATTTTATGATTTTTATATGCGTAAACTTAATTCTAAAGACCAAAGTTAGATAAAATACAAAAATATTAATAATATGTTGTTTAACACATTTTTTGTGACTAATTACTTTATAATCATTGCTAACTAAGATATGTCATTTATTTTTATTTAAATAAAAATTATTTTGGTAAGATTTGATAATATTTTTAAAACATTTTTTTTTATCATTCAAACACAATATTAATTTTAAATTATTTTAATCAAACACAATCTAAAGAGATTTGCAAATGTTTCCCGTGTTTAAGGGCAAAGTTCATTGAGTGTCTCAATTTCAAATTGAGAATCAGAATTTGGATATGACAATAGCCTTTTATTCAAATGATCTACCTAGTTCATATAGGGACAGATTCCTCAATACCAAATGACATCTGATAATCATAACGAAAATCATACCAAAGATTCATTTTAAGCATCTACAATCAGGCAACATCTGATAATCAAGTCGCTGATGTTCTTACAAAAGCCATTATAGGATGAATGCAGAAGCAGGAACGCGACTGAAAGCTTCCTTAAAAAGTTTAAGCCAACTAACCTATACATCAACTGCTCTAAATATCAAAGAAAGACAGCAGGATGGGTAAACAAAAAATAAAATTCATGTCAGTGACAATGAGGTAGACATCAATAAAGAAATGAAGACATCATCCAGAACAAACCCAAATATGATGCAACTTCCATCCATGACCTACTCCCTTTAGGGAATTGATGTTCCATTCCTTACCCATTTTCTTGTTATAAATTATTTTAATAATTACAATTGAGCAATTACACAACAATTAGGCACAGATAAACACTATCATCCACATAAGTTAACACACACACACACACAAAAGTGCTTAGGATAATATCGCGTGTACTAAGCATCTGTACACTACCAACTCATTACAGTAAGCATTGTATTTTTTTCTTTCTTCCACTTTCATATCCTTAATGTAGATCGTGCACAAGTACAAAGGGCACACTACGAAGTAACTATCAAATTCAAGGTTGATTTAGACCACTGTTGGGATTTTCAAAAGCACCCGTCAAAGGCTCCAGCTATGCAATTCAACTGCGATGGTTGACCTACAATAAGACCCACATAGTATATCATAAAAGTGATCCATAACAGCATGCTGGGAATGAAATTGAAACACTTACTACTATTCATGTCGGTTGAAATTTTGTAAAAAATCAAATGGGCGACAAATCTCTACACCTTTAGCCTAATATGACAGCCTCCCAAAGACAATTTGTCTGCAACTCGTTTACCCATTCAGTTCCCACACCCCAAGAATCAATAAAGCGACAATGCGTACGCCAATGATTCAAGTCCTTCTTACTTGATGAGCACGATAAGACAAATGAGTTTAACCAAAAAGTTGCCTTTACAATTTCAGATAGATCTCCATGTGGGGTTAAAAAGAAATACATTTGAAATGAGGACCACAGCTCACATCTGACATGGATTAAGAATCCATACTTGTTATTCTGCTATTATTGATACAAGGAAGGATATAGCTACACTCCGATATGTTTGCGTACCAGAGAAAATATCATTTTTCAGAAGTTGTATTGTTTCTTAGCACCATTTGTCATATACGTCTAAGATGCCCCTGAGGCTGCTTGAACAACTTGATTAACTCATATGTTTGGAAACTTTGACCAGAGTAAAGGCAAAGGTCGAGTGGAGTTAAACCATCCTGAGATAATAACACAAAAATTGCAATTTAAAATCAACATAAAAGAAATGGCCAGCATTAAGCAGCTAGACAACAGAAATTTAACACTCGATCACCATTCCAAGGCTTACAAGTAACAGCTGAAATATTTGAAGATGCAAGTCATCTATGTAACAACTGACACAAAGTTGCACAAAATTCTAGACAAAATCAACCATCTTATCCTATTGAGCTCAGCTACTTGACATGCATAATCAAAAACCAAATTTTCAATAAAACCATTATTCCATTCCACCATAACGTAAAGATTTGACAAAACTTTATGTTAGCTTGTGATTGCCTAACACAGTCCTCCAATTTGATCCAGATTTGGGACCAGCTATGCAAAGTTTAGCAAACAAGCATTAGATTGCAAAGTTTCACAATTCCTCAATTACTTTTGAAATTTTTTCTTCAACAACTAAATAACTTCGGAAAGGTTTCCCTGTTTTACAGGCAAATTGTAAATATCTCAATTTCTAAATTGAGAATCAGGGTTTGGATATCACAAAAGCTTTTCATTCAAATAACCTAACTAGATCATATGGCAGAGACAAACCATTTGATTACCAATCACAGCTCATTTGGTACTAACGATCCATTTTTAGCATCCATTTTCAGACAATGTTGCGAACATTAATCTACTTTCACATTTATAGATTAATGCAGGAAATCAACAAGATTACCTTGTTTCTTAATGTCTTATCAGCACCTTTAATCAGCAGAAGCCTAACTAAATCTGTTTTCTGAGTTTGAACAGCAAGATGCAATGGTGTCCAGCCATCCTAAAATAGAATAAATGAATTATGTTCTCAAACAGCTTGTTGCTAAAGATTAAAAGGTAGATATAAATATGAGAGCCATTAACCATACATTGTCCTGAAGATTTATATCCACATTATACAATAAGAGTAATTCAATTGTCTCGGCAGAAGCTGTTTGTACAGCATAGTGCATCACTGTGGCCCCCTCCTGTTTCAGACATAAACAACCAAGGAGATGCATAAAAACATCAGCAACAAGCAATTAAGCCTATGATGATAATATGCAGTTAGATTAAGATGGAATATTAACAGTGATAACTCTTCAAGGGGGCAGGAAGAGCATATAAAAATAAATTACAAAAGAAAACTAGCAAGTAATGGCTCAAATATGCAATTACAACAATTAAGTAATTTTTTACTCACTTTATCCAGTACAGATGGATTAGCTGAGTTTCTCAGTAGATAATCTGTTACGGCGAGCTTTTTCCCAATTGCTTTGTGAAGGACAGTCAAACCATCCTGGAAACATAGTAAATCACTACATTTTAATCAAGGACTCCATGCATTTTATTATTCCATATGAAAAGTTAGAATTTATATACCTTATCAACAGCATAGATATCAGCATTATGCTTCAATAGAGAATCTAAAAGGTAAAGTTCTCCACATGCAGCAAAAGTGTGCAGAGGAAGCCATTTACCCTGAAAATAATATCAGTATTAGCCAAAAAATTGAGATTATTCACCAAAGGCTATAAGGAAGGGAATCAAAACCCTTTTCCCTACATAGTTATCATGTTTATAACAAATAAGAAAATGCAACAAGGTTTCTCAGACCCAATTATCCACTCCAAAGAAGACTGACTCAACAACTACGGAGAACAGAAAATCACTACGGCATCACAATGAAGGAGTAGAGAACTCTTTTTTCCCAACAAACAACAACCAAGTTTTATCCCATTAAGTGATGTTTACTGCATGAATTACATGATGTCATTAAACTCGGTTAGAAACCAAATTTTCTTAGATATTATATATTATAAGATCTCTTTTTCTAATTTTCTTTCAAAGTTCTTCTACTCTTTCTCTACTCATATTTATTGGACTAAAAGTCATGTCATTTCCTCTCTTTATTGGTACCTCAAGCGACTTTCTTTGCACGTGTTCAAACTATTTTAGTCAATTTTCTGTTATCTTTTTCACAATAGATGTTATTCCAGTATTCTCTAATATGCAGTTATTTCTTATTCTGTCAATAATAAGAAACAATTATAACGATGGTGAAACATCACTAAATGATCATCAGACAAATAAAACTCACTGAAGTAGCAGCTGCCAGGTCTGGTGTTCGCTTATTCAACAAAACCACCTCCTCCTTAGTAATAGTAAACAACTTCCGACGACCTATACACACAAGCATGAAAACTTAAAAAAATATATATATATATATATAAAGGCAGCGAGACAAATGCAACAATCATCAAATGAACTCATTCATTCAACCACAATATAATTTCTCAGCTGAATGGGGCATTCATCAACCAGCATAGGATGAAGCAGCAGCAAAAGTGAACTGACCAGTTAGTTTTCAAAAAGTCCATGCATCATCAAGGAAGTTAATTTTCAGTTTTCAAGGGATTATTTCACGTGTGACAATCATACTAATCCTCGACATCCACACGAAACAGTGACAAACAACAACAAAAGTACGAAAATGGATAAATACAAAACCGAAGACAGTGCCTTCAGTAGTCTTAGGAGTGGGGTTATAGCTTCCACTATTGAAAAATTCATTAACATACTCCAAACCCTTCCCATAAACAACCCCTCTAGGATTCTTGGGCTCTACACGCTCTCCATTCAAGTCAGGTTCTGTAACTTGCTTTTTCACAGAGAAAGTAGAAGGGTTATCGAGAACGAGAGGATTGAGCTGTGTCAATTTATCCTTCTTAGAAGCCCTGTATTGATTCCAGTTTATATCCAACAACGCACTTCTTTTTCCCTTCATCTCAACCTTGTTTTTCATCTCCATTTTCTTGTGCCTCTCCTTATCCATGAAGGGAACAATCCCTATTCTCTTCTTCTTCTTCTTAAACCTGCGTCTATCGTTACTCGTGAAGTCATTGATCTCTGCATGAGTTTCTCTCCACTTGTCAGGAACCAATTCATCGCGCACAAGCATCGCCTTTTTCTTCATCGATTTGGGTCTGGGCTTGTTAGTGAGGAGACTGTCGTTTTGGGAAATGGGGAGATTGTCGTTTTCGAAAATGCCTTCCTCGAAGACGACGCAGTCTCGGACACCGCGTTCTTTGGGGTGGAGAATCGATTTTCTGGGGAATTTGATGGCTTGAAGTTGTAGAGAAGGGAGAGGAGATAAGAGTTTGAGAGGACTCATCAAAACGGTAGAAAATTGGAACATTGCGAGGTTGGTGCTGCTGCAGCTGCAAGTGCTCCCCACCACCACCATGCTTGTCTCTCCTAACGTTCTATGCTTTCTGGAGAAGAGTTTGTTTTCAACCACTTTCGAACATGTTGATTAACAAAGCCCAGCCCAAAGTTCAAGTTATATGTATAAAAATATCATGAGTAAGTCAATATTTGACTACTCAATTATAGTTTAATCATTGGTTAGATTATATTTAATACTAAATAATTTATTTCATATTTTCTTTTTTTCGTGTGTAGAATTAAATCTTGTCTTTTTTAAGATATAAAAGATCATTGAGAAAGAGTGTGTTAAAAAAATGTAAGAAAATATGTGTAAGCATTTTTCTTATATTTTTCATTTTGCTACATGTAACGACAGCCATTTAATAATTTAATGTACATATAATTTTGTCTAAAATTAAATTGTCAAATGCCACATTTCCAAATATCAAGTACCGTTTTAACTTCTTTCTTTTCTTTTTTGTAACTGCTAGCACTAAGAAATTGCTAGGTTGGAATGAGTAATAAACGTTAGATCAGAAGGTGTTGAACTAATTACAGGGAAATTACAGGTGCAAACTAATTATTTTTATTTAAGTAAAATCACAACAAAATTATAAATTAAATTCTAAATTATCCCCACTATTTTTATAATTTAGTTTTAATAATTATCTCTGAAATTTAAGAAGTTTACTTGCTTGAAATTTAAACCTTTGACAAATTATTTTTCTTTCTAGCTATGATTATCAGTGCACTATTTCCTAAACATATAAAGTTATTTGAACTTAAAAAATTCCTAAAACCCAGGAGAAGCAATTAAGATTTAAAATGATAAAATCATCGCGCACAAAGTTTTATCTGTTCATTAACATTTTATGGCAGTGAAAATTTTATTTAGAATTAGACTTATTGCCCTATCAACCAATGCTAGGATTAGTTGTTACAGTTTTATAAATGTCCATTTTAGAACATGCATGCTTTATTTGTTACAACAGTGAACATAAATGTCATACGATAGTAATAATTCTTTGACACTAAGTGGAACAGATTGTTCAAGCACGATGCCATCAATAACTTTTTACTATTGTATAGAAATAGGTTCATCTTCAAAGTATTTTTCTATTAAAATTTCCTCATGTCTTTGATCTAGTATAATTATGTGAATCAAGCTTCGCTGAGTTTTAATATTTGAAGTCAAACAATTTAGCAGCTCCTTTTTTCAAATGTAGCTTTTTCCTTGAATAAGTTTTTTTTTTTTCAAGTTGGACAATAATCTTTCTTTCTTTTTCATGAAAATATTTCTATTTTTCTATCATATTTAAATACATTTTTAATATAGTACGATACCGTGGTTGTCCTAAAATTTCCATATGTGAAGGATGCTAAATGTCATGCAAAAATTGGCAATGGCTAATCTTCACTTGCTGGTCCAAATATTACAGTAGTTGTATTGTCTCTTATCCTCATCTATCATGCTGATACATATCTACTACGTCTCTGAGGCTGCTTAAACAACTTGATCAGCTCATATGTTCTAGCACTTTGACCAGAGTAAAGGCAAAGGTCAAGAGGAGTTAAACCATCCTGAGACAAACAAAAAGGGAAATTGCAAATTAAAAATCAACATAAAAGAAATGACTAGCATTAAGCAACAAGACAACAGAAATTGTAACACTCAATCCCCGTTTAAAGATTTTTCCATTTTGATGATAACAGTTGAAATATTTACAGATACTAGTATGGAACAACAGACAAATTTAAAAATTAAGCATAAATTAGAATTCCTCATATACAGCAAGACAGCAAAACCAATCATGACTTATCCTACTGAAATTAGCTACTTGACACATCATGCTCAATCAAAAACGGAATTTTCAATAAAACCGTTACTCCATGTCACAAAGTTTCAGCAAAACCTTATGTTATCTTGAGATTGTCTAGCACAGTTCTCCTCTTTGATCCAGGCTTGGAGCTTGCTACTTAAACTACAGCAAATATGTAGGAGATTGGCAAAGTTTAACAATTCCTTGATCACTTTAGAAAATTTTCTTCAACAACTACTAAATTTTTAGTGACTTTGGAAAGGTTTCTCACGGTTTAAGGGCAAATCAAATGTAAATATCTTAATTTCAAAATTGAGAATCAAGGTTTGGATATCACAACTATTGCCTTCATTCAAATCACCAAACTTCACAAGGCATAGACAGACCTTCCGAATACCAATAGGTGAAAATCATACCAATTATCATTTGAAGCTTCCACATTAGGCTAACATTATGCAAGGCACTGAAGTTCTCTCACATTGATAGATTCAAGCAAGAAATCAACATAAAATTACCTTGTTTTTTAATGTCTTATCAGCACCTTTAATCAGCAGAAGCCTCACTATATCTGATCTCCGAGCTTGAGCAGCAAGATGTAATGGTGTCCAGCCATCCTGAGACACAGCAAATGAATTATGTTCTCAAAACACCACAAAAAAATAAAAGGTAGATAAGGTAAACATAAGAAAAATTAGGCATACATTGTCTTGGAGATTTATATCCACATTATACAATAAAAGTATTTTAACTGTCTGGATAGAAGCTGTTTGTACTGCATAGTGCATCAAGGTGGCGCCCTCCTGTTCCAGTACATAAATAACAAAATAGATGCATAAACATATCAGCAACAGACAACTAAGGCATATGATAACAATATACACTATTAGATTAACATGGAATGATAACATAACAGTTACAATTTCTCAACGGGGGAAGAAAGAGCTCTGAAAATAAGATATAGAAGAAAATCAGCAAGTAATATGCAGCTATAACTAGACAACTCAACTATTAAGTAGTTTTTACTCACTTTATCCTGCACAAAGGGGTTAGCTGAGTTTCTCAGGAGATAATTGGTTATGGCCTGTTTTTTTCCAATTATTGCTTTGTGAAGGGCAGTCAAACCATCCTGAAAACAAAGTAAATCAGCAAAATAAATAGAAGACTCGTGCATTTTAATCTTCGCAACAAAAAGTTAGAATATATATACCTTATCCACAGCATTGATATCAACATTATACTTCAACAGTGAATCTAAAATATAAAATTCTCCACAAGCAGCAAGAGTATGCAGAGGAAGCCATTTATCCTAAAAATAAAATCAGTATTAACCATTAAAAAAAATGAGTATATTCACCAAAGGCTACAAGTGAATGAACCAGAATCCTTTTCCCTACACCTTTAAGATGGTTGAAAACAAAAGCAACAAGCTTTTAGAGAGTTTTTGTTATCGAAGAATAATAAGAATATAACGATGGTAGAATATCAATCTTTGTTAGTTAGACACATAAATAAACATACTGAAGTAGCAGCTGCCAAGTCTGGCATTCCCTTATTCAACAAAGCCTTCTCCTCCTTAGTAAACAGTTTCCGTTTACCTATTCATGCAGGCATGAAAGAATTAGAGCATCCCAACACTTGAAAAAAAAAAAAGTAATACACATGCAATGAGACCAATGAAAAAAATCATTGAATGAAATCATTAATTTGATCACAATTTAATTTATTAGCCCATATTGCCACTCATTATCTAGCACGTGGCAATCATACAAATCCTCTACACATCCACAAAGGTATCGAGACAATGGCAAACAACGATATGAAAATGAAGCCCAAAAGAGCATAAATAGAAAGAAATAAACAAAACATCAAATCAGTTCTCGAGATTGTTAATATCATCCTAGTCTATAGGATTTAAATTTTTTTTTTGTTAGTATCAGACTTTACAAAATGACATTCACTTTAATTTTTTTAATGATATGTTTGGATAAGCGGTTCAACTAAACACTTATTCAATAACTTTTTTATGCAATAAAATTTATTGAGATAAACAAAAAAATTACTTATTTTGACAGGTTATACTAAAAATTATTATTAAAATACATCAAAAACATCTAATTAGAATCATAAATTATGTTTATAAACTGATCATAAAGTCTTTTAAATGATCCCTTAATATACATTAAAAAACCTAAAATAAATAATTTTTTTCTAAAATCAAGTACTAACAAAAATAATTAAAATGCACTAATTACATAATCTCTAATCTTACAAACTTTAAAGTTCATTAAAAAACAAAGATAAGTGACGTACCTTGAGAAGTCTTAGCATTAGGGTCGTAGTTCCCACTGTTGAAAAACTCAGTGACATCCTCAAATCCCCTCCCGTAAACATCCCACCTAGGATTCTTGGGCACTACGCGTTCACCATCATTCAATTCAGCTTCTGGAACCTCTTTTTTCACCGGAAAACTATATCCGTTGTCGAGAACTTTCATCTGTGTCAATTTAGCCTCTTTGTAAGTGTCGTACTCATCCAAGTTCATATCCTTAAGAGGAACCGGCCCTCTTCTCTTCTTCTCAATCTTGCTGTTGAACTCCATTTCCTGAGCTATCTTGCGCATCTCCTTCTTCGTGATGTTAATCTCTGCCTGAACTTCTCGCCACTTATTTGGAACCAAATTCTCAGCCACAATCACATTATCCAACTTTTTCTTGGAACTGGGTTTCGGTTTGTTAATGGTGAGAGTATCAGAATTGGGGGGATCGTTGTGGAAAATGGGGTCTTCGAAAACGCCTTCTTCGAAGACGACGCAGTCGCCGATGACGTGGTCTTCGGAATCGTCATAATGGTCTATTGGATGAAACGATGGAGAGAGAGAGTGGAGATTCCAGTTTCTGGGGAATTGGATAGTTTGTAGAAGGTTGAGTTTGCGCGAAGTGGAAGCGGAAGGGGAAATTGGGAGGAAATTATGAGGTTGAGGATTCAGTGCAACGGTAGAAAAATGGAACATGGTGGTTTCCACTTCCAGGGTGCCACAGCAAATGCTCTACCCCAGCTTGGGCTTTTGTTTCATAACATTCAATACTTTTGGTTTCTCTTTTTCTTTTTAAATGAATAGTGTATGTGTTGATTACCAAAGCCCAGCCCAGGATCATAATCTCGTTAACTAGGCAAAATAAACAACAATAAAATTTTGAAAATTCATTGCATAGTCTAACCATTACTTAGAACTCATTTTTATCCTATTTGACTCCAAAGCACTGAACGCTGCTTCTAGTGTGAACCATCATCAACAATTCCTTTAGACCGTGATACCCTATTTCTTTTCCGGGCTCTGTGTTTTGTTTATCTAGTTTTCGTCTATCAAAGTATATGGAAAAAGTTACTATATTTTCTAACTTTCACGTGATATATAAAATAGCCCATACAATGTTTTTAGGTGCTTCCGAAGTTACCTTAACACTTTAGAGGGTGGTGATACCCTTCATAAGTGAGCTAATAACAGAGTTATGTTTCTTATTCAATAAATACATCATTAATGAATTTAAATATTACCAAGAGGTCCTTTGGTGTAGTTTATTTTAGAAAGTTAAATCCTTTAATATTGCTCAACTTCTTATGTCAAAAACTAAAATGGAAAGAGCATTCATTTTCATCTTCTATTACCGGCGCTCTATATCCCATAATTGGTGCAGATTGATTTCAAGGAGGGGCGTTTTAGTGCAGATTGATTGGAAGTTCTGTGGCTGGCTCGTGGTTCGTAGCAATGCTGGTTTCAGGGAGGTGGATAGCAATGGCTGAAGAATTTTTGCATCTGCATATGTGATTGGCTTTAGTATCAGCAAGACCAAGTCTAGATATAAACCAAAAACACAAAATTCAGTTGAAGGATTTTTGTTTCTCTCGTGAAGAAGGCTTTAAAGATGAAATCTTAGTATTGAAAAACATGTTGGGGTGCTTGAAAAATTACGAGAAAAATGCATTATTAATTTTATAATGTCTGTGTGTGTCTATATATGTATAAAACTTTTTAACTGGTGTCCTTAATAAATAGGAGACAGATGTGAAAAAACTTTTTAAAGTTTTTTAACAACTTTTTTAGAATTCTAAATGCAAAGAAAAGCAACTATGACATGCATCACGGTTAGAATGAAAAGTTGTCTTGTAGGTCTGGGCTCCAGCGAATCTTTTTAAGGTAAAAATTAAAATCAGCAAAAAAAAATGCATATTGCTTTTATATATTACTCTTATTTCCTTGCTAGTACTTAGTCTACTTTTTATGCTTGTTGTTCTTCGATAGTATTGCAGCTATTAAAAAGGAATGGAAGAAGTAAAAGGGAACAAGGTGTGTTTTGCCATTCTAGAATTATAAAAAAAGGGGTCATGCGAGGGGCGGTTAGGTTTCCCCGACTCCAATGGGGGCAGGAGGTGGGGTTCAGTACTTTCTATGGCGAGAATGGCAGAATCCGACACCTCTACCCTGAGTGTTGATGAAGTAACACTACAGCGAATAAACTGTTACAAAGAGATGAAATAAAAAAAGGGATAAGAGAAAAAGTAGTGCTTGACTGAGTGCTGATACGAGGACTTATAGATCCACTTGACCAATAAATGAGTTGCACAAACTAGTGAAATAACAAGTACTAAAGACGCATAAATAAGTACTGAAGGGACACAAATAAGTACAGGCTACTTCCAAAACATTGGATACATCGCATATAAAACACAAACTGATAGTCACGATAGCATTAACAGATATTTCTTCCTTTCCGTCTTCATAGTTTGAAACAAGGTGATAAAAGACATCACCTAGATCCACGAGCATACCTCCTATCTGGGCTGCCATAGGGAGAATAAGGTAGTGACCTGGACCTGTCCCTCTTAGATCTTCCACCATAGGGTGAGTGCTTCGGTGAATAATCTCTACCACCTCGATATGGTGAGCGCCTTGGAGACCTACGATATGAATAATCATCACGACCAGAACCACCTCGATACCTTCCACGGTCACCACGATATCCTTGAGACAAACAGGGTTCAGTAAAAATTTTAATAAAACAAATTCTAAAGAACAGATTCACCATTCAAAAGATACTGTCTCAAACTCACCATAGTCTCTAGTACTTTTCAACCCAAGGTAATGTCCAGGTGTAGGAGTTCTTGGCCGCTTTCTTCGTGACTGATAAAATACAAAGGTTCACCATCCTTAGAATTTATTTGATATAAAACAAGTTGCATAAATCATCCAAGTACCGCTGGAAGCAAAACAGCTTGAATCTCATGATATCCTTGCCTTAGTAAATTGTATTAACTAACTCTTGCTTATTATTTAAGGGTGTCCTTTAAAAGAAAGTTTCATCAAAATAAAAAGCCTAGCTTATAAGAAAAAAAGAGTTATATCCACACACATGATTAATGCTAGGCGTGAGATACCATAAAAGCCTGATTAGAAAGTTGTTGATAATGTCCGTTGATTAGTTGAGTTGAAAGTGAATGCTGATGTTGTAAAGTTGTTGGACAATATAGTTGCTATGTTTAGTTGATCAGACGCATTGGATTAGCTGTTTAAGCTTGCCATTGATCAAACTGTATCACTAAAGTTGACATGGATGAACTGATCATCTTTGATTGCGTGCCAAAATAGCTGATGCAATGTATTCTGAATATGACCACAAAACCTTTAGGTCAAGAAGAAAGAACCACAAGTTTTTTTAGCAACTACTAGTTAATGGGAAAACACATTACCCGCTCAACAGTGATATAGCGACCCTCTAAAACTGATTGATTGAGATATTTGATGCAGCGGTTTGCATCCTCAACAGAATCCATTGTAATAAATGCAAAGCCACGAGAAATCCGCGTGCGAGGCTCCACCACAAGAAAACACGAAGCAACCTAACAAAGAAGACAACTATTGATAACCATTCCTACATAATTTGTCACTAATGAGGAAAAGTTTGGCGATTCAGTGATAAAAGAGGAAAAATCAACATGAGACTCACTTTTCCCTCCTTAGAGAAATGCTGCTCTAGCTCTCTCTCCGTGACTCTTGAAGATAGGCCAGTCACATAAAGTGTAGTCCCAGTGTTTTTCGCCTCAGGCCTGGAACAAAATTGAAGATATTAGAAGTTACTAACACAACATCATTAAACCAGAACACAAAAGCACAACTGTCCCTTCAGAAATACTTTTAAAAATTAGAATTTATCTTTCAGCGAAGGCATTATGACCAGATATATGCAAATTTTAAAAGGACTAACCTTTCATTACTTCTTGATCTTGATCTGAAAAAGACAACATGGTTGGGGACAAAGAGATGACACAAAAGGAAGAAATATCAGGCACTGTAGAACGAATGTAATGAAAAAAAGAGTGACAGAGACAACAACCACGCCCTTGAAAGGTAAACCATGATTGCCACTGACCTGCCACGACTCCTCGAACGGGATCTTAGCCTTTGCTTTTCCAGAGATCTTGACCGTGATCTAGACCTAGGCCTAGATCTAGACCTTGACCTGGATCTTGACCTCGATTGAGCTCTCCACGGAGAAGGGGACCTTGAATTCCTGAAATATCAAATAATCACCAGAAAAACAATTACATTCATCAACTAATGATCTCAGATTGACCACATTCTATTAAGCATTAACCAGAATTTCGAAATTGAATTCTCAAAAACTAAAGAACCCATCTCGTTCACGAATGCATTTCGCTGGTGAAATTTGTTCGGAATGACACACTTAAAGAATCCTATTCATTAACAAAAAAAGATTAATGTTTCATTTCATTGGGTTCAGTTAGAAACACAACACAAACAAAGGTTGTCACATGCGAAATAATGGTCATGCTCCGACAACGCTTGATTATCGTGATTACCATAATCTAATGGGGATTTGGGGTTTTACCTTCTTGGTGGAGAATCGGCCTGCAAAATAATTGGGAAAAAATAGAACAGAGGAAAAAAAAGTTAGGTTATCTTCGCAAGTCGCAGCGAATAATCCAAATGAGGGATAGATTCAGATAGTGAACTTGCCATTTGCAGGGGCGCGATCTTCAAGTGTTGACTCTTGAAAGGAGATGAAGAATCAAGAAGAAGAAGACGACGATGGGTTAGGGTTTTGTCGAAGCGCACTATTAAATTGACCTTCGATTATCAGCATCATATAGCTGTCAGAAGAGTCATCGGGCCGGTCTATAACGACCTGGTCCGGGCAGATATTTTATACGGCCCAAAGCCCACAAGGTGGCCTTCCTTTCCCGAAGAGTGATCATCATACAAATGTCTCAAATATTAAAATAATAATAGTAATTATTTTAAAAAATGATTATTAAGAAAATAAATAAATTCAATGCAATGCCTTTTTAGTGATAATCAACTCTTATATCATGAAATTTAATACTCTTGAGTGTAATATTTATTTATTTTTTCAATCTTACTTTCTTTTAATGTATCACTTGACTTTTTTTTTTCTATCAAACCTATTATATTTTTCCATTTATTTATTTTTATTAATTATTTTTCTTAAATTAAATCAATTCGATTGCGAAAAATCATTGTATTCTCTAAAATTCAAATTTAGCTAGTTATGTACATAAGTTAAATATGTAATGTTATATTTTATGGAGTTGAAAGTTTGATATAAACCCCTAAGATTGTGTGCTGTTTAATGACATTCAATTCGATATTGACATTTTTAGCAAGATTTTTGGTCTCAAACACATTCCCTAACTCTTCCACACTTTTATAAATGTAATAATTTATAGTTGATAGCTAGGCATCCCTGAAATAATCAGGTTTTGAAAGCATGTCTAAAAATACACAACAGAAGTCTATAGATAATGTTTTATTGAATCACTAAATTTAATGAACTGATAATATTAAATGAAAAATACTAAATTTAATCTTCAGAATTTAATTTAATTAATTAATTAATAAAAATTTCTTCATCGTACTTTTATAATTAAAAATAATATATATTTTTTCAAAAAAAGTTATTACTTTTTATATTTAAATATGATTTTAAAGACCAAAGTTAAATAATTATAATAACATTTTATTTATTAATTTTTTACTAATCATTCTTTAGAAAAATAGATAAAACATTAGTTGAAGAGGATTTAAAATTTTCAAGAAAATCAATGATTTTATTTTATTTTTTTGTTTCTAACAATCAATGATTATGTTCAAACTAGTATTTATTTCACTAAGAAAAATAAAATATAGCTCCAAAACCTGTCCACGAACAAAGCGAAACTTATTTTACTTTGGGAGCTATGAATGATATATTAGATTGCACTGTACGATGACCAAATAAAGGACTGGAAAGTGGGCACAAACAAACTATGAACTCGTGATCCTTTCAAAATATGAATCATTACATTGTAAAAGATTTACACGTGATTTAAACAATCAATTTTACGTACAGAAATCCGTAAAAAAAAAAAAGTTTAAGTCCATAAAGCTAAATAACTCTTCACCTTAACTTTTCTTCTGTCTCCCTCAGGAAGAGGCAAGCAACACACCACAAACTTTACAATTTTTTTAACAACATGAATTCAGGAATTTAAGTTGTTAGGATATCAGGAATTGTTGTGGAGTGACTCCCCAAAATCTTACCCCCGGCATCTGGGAAACTCTCACATTCACTTAGGGAGCTAACCTTCCCATCAGAATCTACCTGTACAGGATATTTAAGAAGATGTCCCTGCAGAAGTGAGAAATCTTCAGAAGCGAATGATTTCCAGTTATTCTCTGCAATTTCATTCACTTTACGCACACACTCCAATCTCTCTGGTTCCTCAAAAGTTTCATCTAACATGCCAAGATGCTCTCCCCAAAGCGACATTCTGTAACCATATATCTGCAGGAACAAAAATCATTGATTGTAATAAATAAAATATCACATGGCATATTGGCACAGAGGAGACAAGTTCACACCATTGAGGCATGGAGCGATCAGTAATCAATTTTCTCCCTATATATACAGCACAAAAATGGTACGAGATACATAGTTGGAAATCAAACTAGCAACGGTTTTTATTTGGTCACTTATCCATGGCATCATTGAGTAATTTAAAAATTTGGGAGGAAACCAATCACATTCAGTAGGAGATAAGGGTAATTTCCAGATCAACTTATGCTTAGAATTATCCAGGGATTCGATATATCTGTAAAATATAGTCAATTTGGACAACATATGTGATTTTCAACCCATTAATGTACTCAGGTTGTAATGTAACGTCATTCGTGGCAGGACAAAAAGAGATTCCCAATTAGAAAAATTGCAGCAAGAATTAAAGCTTGGGGGTAAATACAAACCTGGCCACGTGGATGTCTTTTCCTCGCGGACCATGTATAATGGGGTTGATATGAACCCATAGCTATCTCGGTATCTTTCGTACCAGCCATAGATCTTTGGTTTATATTAGCAGATCCCACTATAACATACTCATCGTCAACTATCATCCCCTTAGCATGCACATAAATCATAAATCGGCGATATTTATATGCTCCTGAGACCTGGCAAGAAAAATATATTCATAAACTATTCTTGATCACTGTCTACTATGTAGGAGAGGTATTCAAAAGTCAAGATAAAATTTGGATATTTATAAAAACGCATTCACAACCCTTTTTTGGGATGTACCAAAAGCAAAAAGAAACATGTACAAGTAATCTCCTACAATCTGAATGCTTACAACTTGTGAAAATATCTTCTACAATCTGAATGCTTACAAGGAAAAACCGATCCTCAATCCTGGAACTATCAAAATGGAGTAAAAAGATAGTATCCAATAAAAGTCGCTTCCCCTTAATTATAAAAATGAACAATTGAGAAAAGATGGATTCCATGACCAATGAGTTTTTTTTAACTAATCAGGGAATATAAGTATAGTAGCGAAGCCAATTAAAAGACACAGGTATATATGTACTAATTCATATGTCAAGGACTCAAGGCCATCATACCATAAACAAAGTGAAAGCATATGCTGACAGCCTTTCAAGTACGGGCATATCTAAGTGAAGAACTGCAGATGAAGGCTGGGTGAACACCCACATAAATGTGCATCTCTTGCTATTTTAATTTAGAGCCCAAGGATCAAGTAAAGGGATAAACTAGAACATTATAGTGTCAAGTTTACTCAAAAAAAGGTCAAGGCTTTATACCAAACTGTTATATTACAATCAACAAATGAAATGCAATGCTGACTCAGAAGATGCTGCCAATATATGAAATAAACAACCAATGTTCTTGACAGTATATAATATAAAGTTTAGAGCAAAATGGAATAAACTATTTAGAATAAATCTTTTTCATTTGTGATATTACTGGCAAGTGATAACTACTATCACTGTTGTCAATGAAAAGAAGATTTCCCCATCTACATTAGTAGATAATTTGACTATAATGTAAACCAACCATGTATGGTCCAATATGTCAATGAATGTTAAAATTATTACTACTTAAATGTACTTATGAAATAGTAGATTTGTGTATTATACGATAAAATGCATTTAGCATTCATAGTGTTGCACCCTTTTATTACTAGCCTAGGAAATTGTTAGGATTCAATTAGAATGATGACTTGAGTACCATATTGAAAGTATGAGATTCTAGTGAAGGGTTTATAAAGCCTGATGTTTTCCAAGTCGAACTACAAAGACTACCTTTTGTGGTGTGATTTTTCTAGAATTCTTACTAGAAATAGTCTCCACTTATTCTTATTATATATATATATATATATATATAGGAATGTTCTGCATAACAGAGTTTCTCAAGAAGTGTAATAAAGCTTTGCCATTCTCTCTAGACTATTTTCTCGCGCTGTCTCTCTTCCTCCCCATCTAAATTAAAAAATGAACTACATTTTAAAGAAGCTTAAAAGAAAAGAATTATGATATGCCTAAGGTTAAAATGAGATGGATATATTAGTTTAGAGGATTACCTGTGCACCATTTGAGCCTGAGCTTTCTTCATTAACATTTTCCCGATTACCAAGGCAATAGAAATTGAGGTAACCTTGGGGGTGCACGTCAGTAAGTTGCATTGATTTCAATTCTCTAGCAACAACATCATACATCATTTGCATTGTCTGGCCCTGTATAAAGAAAACATAAAATTGAGAATACTTTCATTTTTTGTTGCATTTGTGATCCCTCAAAGCACTGAACTTCAGAAAGATCCTCTGAGGTGGAGTGTGCACTTTAGAGAGTAAAGTGCAGGTTTGGCAGCCATTGATGAAAATAAATGGTTGATTTTGATAGAATATGACCACATAGAAAAACAAGCCAGTATTTGTGAGAACTCACTCCCTTGATTTCCTCATCAACAACTACCTACACTTTATGGAGTGCACTTTAGAGAAGTTGAATTCTTAGACTTCATATTCCCATATTGTAAATTTTCACCATTGCACAATAAACTTAAAAAATTAGATAATCAGATACCTGCCAAAAGAGGATTTCTTGCATGGCTCCAGTTTTAGGATCTCCTTCTGGCCACATTGGTAAAACAATATAAACAGCAAATCTCTCCCTGGCTCTGATTTTATCAGCAATTTTGAGTGCCAATTCCATTGGGATTAGATTATCAGCCCCTGATCACAGAAAACAAAAAAATGAGACATCTCATTATTTTTATCTTTTTCTTTTGCTGACAAAACAACTCATTCCTACTTGATCAACTTCTGAAAGGGATATACTCATATACATTTCTAAAATATATATACATTCAACTTCTCTTTTTCCCCTAAGATTAATGTACTCAAAATTTACAAATGCACTTTTCTGCAGAACAGAGAAAACTACCTCCCTAAAATATAGACAACTATAATGCTTCTCAAAAACATGAATTTAATCCTGACCTGCATCTTTATAAGATGGCCACGCATATGATGATCCAATAAAGTATTGGTTTTCGATATAAATAAAGTGTTGAGCAGATCTGATTGCTTGAATGTAACCTGTTTGAATGCTTTTGTCTATAACCAAATTTTTAGAACAGATAAGATTCTGCATCCAAAAATATGTAATTAGAAACTGCAAAATTTGATTCTAATCAATTCAAAATTTAAGATTCTAAACTCAATAATAGGTTGGTTTGCAAGCAAGCAGTACCTGGGATATAGCAACATCAACATGTTTGGGAAATCCTTTCAGGGATCCTGAGTCAATGGAGCGAAAGATCTGTAAGAGTTGGAAAACAATGTAACAAAATAAATTATCCCGAAAATCAAGAAAGAATTGCAGGCAAGTAACATTTAGACAGAACCAAGCTTTCATTGTCCAACCTGAACATGCCAGTTTTCAGGATCTTCTTCACTAGAAACATATACTAAGGGGTCATCCCCTGGAACAACTGTATAATTTTCCTTTGAGGTAGGATGGAAAGGACTTAATATCCATGAGATGCGTTCTATTCTTAACAAAGCATCATCATGCCAATGAGAGGATTTTTTGAAAAGGATTGCAAACTCTTTCCACTTAGTTGATTTTCTCCATCGCTGCTCAAAATTAATCAGAACGTCATATGCAGCAGGTCCATCTATTCTGCAGTGCAAGTCATGCCAAGGTTGTCTAGGAGCCCTTGTTCCAGTCTACCACAAACAAAATACATAAGAGCGTGGTGCAGTAACAACAGATTAGATGATACATCAATTTTATGTTGGAAGAACCGGAGAGAGAAAAGAAAGGCCAGTGTTACAACATTGTAACAAAACTATACTACCTGTACTACCTGCAACATAAAGTTAGCAAAAAATAACTGGTTTTCATGCTCAACAATCCATAGATATGTGGTCCTCAATAAAGAGAAGTGCGCTATCCTACAATAATGATGTGGGACAAGAAAAACTTCTTTCCAATCTTTAACTTGACTCTTAACATGGTCATACAAACAAGATCACAAGGGACAATATAACAAAAGGAATTAGATATTTCGAGTTAACAATCACAATCGGTTCCTTGGCATTCTATCATCAAACTGAGTCCAATAAATTTGATAAATCACAGCACTTCTCAGTCTGACCTTGTAACATGGGGGTTCATTCAAGACATAATGGATAACACGACCAAAAAAGATTCTATTGAATTAGTTTAAACAAGACTGTCCTGAGTCCTGACAGATATAATAATAAATGTGACACTTAATAAGTCCAATTGGGCTGACAACTTACAGGAAATGTAGGATTGTGGAAATCACCAGCAAATACAGTGTCAAGATCACGAAAAAGTCGATGCTCAGGTGTGTCATAGCGACCATCACATAGATCAAGACCTCCTATAAAAGCAGTTATTTTTCGGTTATTACCAGCAGCCTGTGTGTCCACAATCACACATTTTTGGTGGTGTGTGAAGACGGTCCCAACAACCTGTATAATACCATACCAAAAACAACTTAACAATGATGTTTATCTCAAAAGACAGGACACCATTTACAAATGACGAATAATGTTTCAGGCAAAGAGGTGGGGAAAAAAATGAATAAATGGAAACGCAATTATTAACTTTAAACAGAAATTATAAAGGAAAAGCTACCTTTCCCAAAGCCATTCTAAATTTTGCATCTAAGAAAAAACATACCCACGATTTAGAGCTTATGCCACAAAACACATGGCATTTCACATTTGACTCCACTGAAAATTAGCTCATAAAGAATCCTATCTCCTGACAATATACAGGAGGGACGTATCAAGTCTACGCAACAACAAAATACAAAAAGACAAGAGAGCAACAGAAGAAACACCAGGCAACAAGAATAAACTACATTATAATTCAACACACAGACACCATCACCCCGAGCCCCATGTAACCAAAATCAAAAAACCAAAACCAAAACCAAATTACCAAACAATCCCAAAACTTGCCTGTTGCTTCAAGAAGCTCATCTTGCTGCTAGCATACCGAGGTGCCAAAACACACATCACAGAAGAGTGCTTAAAAAACTTCCTCGTTTCCTCATCATGAGTCTGCATCACACCAGACTGCAGCAAAACAGCAATCAGTAACCAATACCAACCAAATGAATAAAACCACAAAAAACAAAGAATGCATAGATTCTCACCGTCTTGAAGAAGACCTTATCATGTGAAGTCTTATCATCCCAAACCAACAAAAGAACTCTCACCCCTTCTTCAGACTTGTACTTAAGCAACTCACCAAGTGTCAAATCTCCACCTCGTGGCAATGGCCTAGTTGGCTCTCTCACAAGCTTCACCTTGTGGTAAATTGACCAACCCACCAAATACACCATGTGATGAGCCTCAGATATAGCATAACAGATATCTTCCCAACACTTCCCGTGCCTATAAATTTTGCCACCATCAAGCTTAATCTCCGGTACCGTCATATCAGGACACTGTGCATCTTGATACAATCTCACTGAACTTCCCTTCCTCACCGGAAAATACGTGTTCCTCACGCCCCTGTGCTCAGGGTCCGCTGCAATGCCTGCCCGGTACAGCGGATTCTCCTCCACCGGCGTGAACTTCATCTCGATGTGAAGCGCGGTGTCCGGCTTCGGCGGCTTCCCGGAGGACCCTATTATCGGAAACCAGCCAGAGATCAACTCGCCGGTGGCAATCCTCTTCGCTGGAATCTTAACAGTCCCCATGGTCTGCGCGCCAAAAACGTCGTCGTCCTTGATGCGAAATTCCAAATCGACGACGGGATGCGCCAGCGGGATGTGGAAGCTCTCGTTCCACACCGGCTTCTGCGAGTTTTTTAACACGCGCGTGCGAGCCACCGTGGCTTGCGGCACGGAAACGGTGACGTACGGGTCGCTGGTGATAATCTTCCGGTGCTCGTGCGTTCGGCCGACGCTTCCATCAGCGGCGGCGTCGGAGGAGTGAAATTTGATGGTATCGCAGGCGGTTACGCAGCGGCGAAGACGCTCGGAAAAGATATCCATGTTTGGTAACCGGCGAGCCTCGATAATTTTCAAGTCGAGGTCCCCGTGAAGATGGAAAACGCCATTGTCGTCACCGCCAGCGTCGGCCATGGGAGGGGTGCGTTCCGGTGCGCCGAGTGTCAACTAATTGAAATTACAACCGAAAGAGAAAAAGAATGAGGAAATAGTGTGAAAGGTTTTAGGGTATAGCTTGGAACAGAGGAACTGAAAGCACGTGAGAGTGTGTTTTTTGTTAGCTTCTGGTTTTGGATTTCTTTGCTTTCTTGTTTGTGTTAGTCTCGCGGCGACACAAAGTGTGTTAGTGTGTGCACCTCGCTGGCGGCTTCACGGGATTCCATGCTTTTTTTATGACCGTTTTTTCATTTTCTTCGTTTGACAAAATGGTTTGAATTTACGAGCAGCAACGGAAACGGAATCGCCAACTCACGACGGGGCCATTAAATTATTGCCATGCTCTGTTAATACACATAAAATATAATCAATTTCTTACTATTTTTTATTTCTTGATCAGATCTTAATCTTCTTAATAATGGTGTACTCATACTGTGCACGTTGTCGTTATTGGATGAGGTGGTGAACGACGAAAGTAACGTTCCTCCACTTTGTTGGTGCCTCTTTGTGTAGGTAGTGTGGGCACGTCAGTGGGCCTCACATTTCAACCCTCAACTGCTCCATGGGCCCACGCTTATGGGCTCGAATTCCATCGGTTAATGATTCGCTGCTAAAGTTAATTTCGCCTATTTATAAAGTTACTTTCGCAAAGTTCTTGCCTTTTTGTTTTAATTCCTCATATTATGTGTTTAAATTACTCTGGTAGTTATTTTTATATTTTATATTTTTATTTTTATACAAATTTATTTAACAACATTTTGAGATTAAATTAAAGATTAAATAAATTAACCTTTAAAATGTATTTTAATGAACTTTAATTTTTAATATTATAGGATTTTCTCAACGATGGTATTGGTATCAAAGAATAAAGTATGTAATAGCTATCGGTATCAGACAGAAAGTATCTGATAACGGCAATAGTTATTTATAATTTAAAAATGCGATCATATTTTATTAGAAAAATAACCAAAAAGGGCAAAAGTGGTAACTTGGCGACTTAGAGTTGAGCTGTACCATCATCTCCTTGGTAATGGTGTTAGGTATATCTTCAAGGAACTCTTAAATCTTTCATAATGCAACGATGCAAAAATACGAAAACCAGATTCTGCATCCTAAAGCCTTAAAAGTCCCCTTTACTTTTTTATGTAACGAGGAAAAAAAAAAGTTGCCAAGTCAAAGTGAACAGATTAATGTTAAATGATGCAAATGTACTTTTGCATATAATTTACGAAGAAATAAAAAATATAATGTACTTTTTCAAACCTATTTTGGAAACCATGATTAGTTATGAAAACGTTTGTAATTTTTGGTATAAATTTTTCTTTACCAAATAACATTCTCCCGCATAAATTACTGATTTACTTCTGCGTTCTAATTTATTACATAGAAAGTATATGAAAAGTGATGACAATCACATAAATCATTCCTTCATTGATTGTTACCAAACTAAGAATGAACTTCATTTGTGAAAATTTTCATGTCTTTTCCATCCCTTTCACAAACACAATAAGTACATCTTTTAATTTAAAAAGAGTGTTGAAATCCTAAAAATTAGTAATATAGTTTATTATTATATTATATTATATATATATATATATATATATATATATGTAAACAATTACTACGAGCCACAAATAAATGGCCTATTGGACTCAAAAAACCCTGTTAAAACTTTTAAAAAGAGAAGAGTATTAAAGAAATCACATAAAATTAGCCTAAAGTACGATAATTTTTTTGTAAAATGAAATTTACGATATAGAACAAAAATAGTTCTACAAAATTTTACCTTTTTTATATAAATGTTTTCAATCACTAAACAGAAAATACGTTTAACGTGTTCAATATTATATATATATATATTTTTCATTTAATTACTCATTTTATAAAAAAAAAATTAGTAAAAATTAAGTAAAATAATATAACGAATCTCACAAAGTAATTGACACACCAATAAAGTCTTTTTGATACTATAAAAAACCAACAAATTACTGTAAACGTCGCTAATATAGGTAACTAACCAGGCATTAGAGGAAACAAAACTTTAAAAGAAATATACTAAAAAAATTATATATTTTTAATAGTTATTTTACTACTTTACGAAGTAAGCATTAAATAAAAAAGTAACATATTTCTTATCTTAAAATTATAAAAGGCATTTAGTAATTTTTTATATAATAATTAGAAGTCTTTGTAGACATAAGAGGTAAGAGGATTTACAATTACTCTATATTAAAGTAATTTTTTTTAATATGTACGCATACAAACATATGTATAGTAAAATTTTATTTTAAATCACAGTGTATCGCATAATTCAATATATTAATAATATCAAAGTTATAAAATTTATTAAAGTTATCTTATTTATTAATTTTATTATTATCTACTTGATATTAATATGCAACTCGTGAAAGACAAAACTATAAGTATTCACTACATGTGTTTAAAAATAATTTTTTAATAAATAGGGTTTAACAACCCAAAATAAAAGGGACCTTCAAGCAAAGGGTCTAGAAAGCCAAAAATTACAAGAATCCAAACTTGAAAGGGGAATAAAAGAGGGAGAGAAAGTTGAAATAGCTGAAAATTATTCACAAACATGGTGAAGTTTAATTTGTAAAATTTAAATCCGTAAGAACTGACTTCAAGTTGGATCGTATTAATTTTGAATTTTTGTGGTCCACCAATATTTTGAAGATTGGACTTTCCTTTTCTTCTGTCAAGTGGTAATAAAAAAAGTTACGCTACCTTGTTGTTTTATTCCTATGAATATCATAATGTAGAAAAACACAAAAAACAAAAACCAAATCAGCAGGGCCCATAGAAGAGTAACCCACTTAACAAAGGAAAATGGTTTCAAATTACTGACTAAATCACATGATGAGATTATAATTTTCAGTTTTGTTAATTTTAACTCTAAATATTGGAAAGTTTTAAAATTTATATTAAAATAAAATTTACTCCTTTTAAATGTTTACATTTTTTAGATTAAAAATTTGTATAATATTATGGAAGCGATATTGTTTGCAATAAAATTCATAGAAAGTCTTAACAAAAAAAATTCATAAAAAAATTAATGCAACAAATGCTACTTAGCACATCAAATTGCAACAAACTACCACGCTGTAGTGTTCATAAATACACATCACTATCACTGCAATGGCAACATTTGTGGTGACTGGAACAGTGATCACATCTGTGACCATAACTGCAATTTAAAATCATTACCCGTACATCTCCAAGTCTGTTATCTATACTAATTGGACCAAAAGAAAATAAACTGAAACTCTAAATCAAGCCTACATAGATTTTTCAGGTTACACGTATGGTTGTTCAAGGGTGTATTTAAATCCAGGACTGATCTAAATATGTATTTAATAAGTTTTTTTTAAAATAACATTTTATATTGTAAATTTGACGATAAAATTTATTAAAATAAATTATTTTAATAAACTATGTTAATAAATTATTGAAATAAATAAAAAACAGCTTGTAAGAGCCATAAATTATTTATAAACTCTTGTGTCTATCCTTAATCAAAATCTATTACAACTCGTGCAAATTACAATAGTATCCCACAATCTAATTCACTATATCCTTTCTGCTGTGTATCTACTATGAATGATTTTTTATTTTTTATTTTTTTTTTGGGGGAGGGGGGGAGGGGTTCAAACTATCAATGAAACTTACATTTCCCCTTTTGCAAGTATGAGAGTTGCTGAGCCTTTTAATTTTTAGGGCTCCTTGTTCTTGCACTAAACTTTACCCACCCATGCAAGAGACCTTGGGAGAAGTGGGCCTATAAGAAGAGTCAACATGCAGCCTTAGTTAAAGGTATCATCCATCATAAGTGAATCCATTTTAAAGTTGTTGAGAAGACCAATTAGGATATTAACCTTTGGCAGGTTGTGATAGTCGTAGTCCACTTAGCAACATACTTTGCAAAAACATACAGTGCTGTAGCAATCACTTGGTGCATTCGGAGGCTTCCAAAGGACAGAGATGTTTGAGCAACATAAAATCCACCTAACAAGGACATTGCAGTAAACAGAATCTTTGCAGTAAACAGAATCCGAGAAGGACTTCAAAAGTAATGTCCCCTATTCACCTTGGCCGAGCGCATTATTCTCTTGCACAGATGGAATGCAAGGCCCTGCGGAAGATCTGCAATCTGCATGTAAACTTTTCAGGGACACCGTTTTTAGATTGGGAATTCAGCCACATCTGAGGCCTATTGAGATGAAGCTCATTGAAGGGTTTATTTGTCTTTCTTCTATCACGAATCAGTAAAGTCAAACCAGGAGAGTTGATATATGTAATTTCATTATGTGACAGTCTACATAAATTCATACCAGCAAGTATATCACAGATACTAGCATGTGGTTTCGATGGACAACATAAGAATGCCTAAATTATGGTCATCCACTAATGGGTGTTCATCCACAGTAACATTTCATTCCTTCAAGCAATATATAATGAATTAAATTTACCCGTTCAATGCAATTCAGAAGTTAAGATTGTGTGACCAGGTTGGGGTACCTCCTCCAATCATAAAATATCCAAAACTGATTTCATGTCAGATATGTTACATTTATCTCTCATGTGTGCAGCTAAAGTATTTGTAACAATCTGAACATTTTCAGATCTCAGCTTTGCTGCATCATCCGAGAGAAAACTTTGAATCTGGTTTTGAACTTCAATCCAGCTGCAACCAGGTAGCTTTCCAGCTCTTTTCTCTCTCATTAGCACCCTTAGTCTTTCAACCTCTTCCCACTTGCCAGCCTCAGCATGCATGTTTGACAAGGTAATATAATTGGAGGCATTATGTGGCTCGAGTTCTAAAAGCCTCTCTGCAGCAATTCTACCAAGTTCCAGGTTTTTGCGTATACGACAAGCCCCAAGCAGTGAACCCCATAATCCAGCATTTGCTTTAACATTCATTCCCTTCACTAAATCAAAGGCTTCCTCTAGCCTACCCACGCGGCCAAGCAAGTCAACCAGGCAGCTGTAGTGTTCACCCAAGGGTTCAATAGCAAAATCTTCAATCATGCATTTAAAAAAATCCAAACCTTGATTGGCTAAACCGGCATGACTGCACGCGGACAACATCCCAATGAAGGTAACCGCATCAGGAACCAGACTCTCTGATATCAACTGTTCAAAGGCCCTAAATGCCTTATTTGCATATCCATTCAAAGCATAACCCGAAATCAAGGAATTCCAAGAAATAAGATCAACGCATTCAATATCTCTGAACACATGTTCAGCACTTTGTACCCTTCCACATTTTGCGTACATGGCAATCAAGGCATTGCTAACAAATAAATCACTTATATAACCACTCTTTAGAATGAATTCATGGAGTTGCTTGCCTACTTGCAGAGCAGAAAGATTAGCACAGGCACTTAAGGCGCATGCAAAAGTTGATTGATCTGGTCTCTTTCCTTCCTGCCCCATCATAACCAAACTCCTAAGAGCATCCAAATATAAATTATTTTGTAGAAAACCTGCAATCAGAGAATTCCAGGAAACTATATTCCGCTCCCTCATGGCCTCGAAGATCTTTGTTGCTCTATCCATTTGTCCTGCCTGAGCATATCCGGAAATCATAGTATTCCATGAAACAGCATTCTTAATGGGCATTTGTCTAAATAGATTGAGAGCTTCATCCATTCTTCCACTCTGGGAATAGCCTGCAATCATGCTGTTCCAACAAATGGCATCACGTGAACTAATTCGACTGAACATTTGACTAGCCTCATCTATCCTTCCATTCTGTGCTAACCCTGACATCAATGCTGTTTCCGCCGCAATGTCTTTGCAAGGCATCTGATTGTAAACTTCCCTTGCTTCGTCAAGCTTACCAACTCGAACGTACCCATTAATTATTGTAGTCCATGATACACTATCTTTATATGGCATTTTCATGAACAGATCAACAGCTTTATCAATCTGTAAGTCTTGAACATAGGCAGCAATCATTGCATTCCAAGACACCACATTCTTACTAGGCATCCTGTCAAAAAGACTTCTAGATTCTGTAATCTTTCCATGTCTTGCCAACCCACACAACATCGTAACCCAAGAAACAGAATTAGGATTTGGAATCTTTTCAAACAATCGCCAAGCAGAACTCAGTTCACCACTGTTAACATACCCAGCCACCATCAAATTCCACGATACTGCATTCCTCTTGGCCATCCTCTCAAAAAATTTCAATGCTAAATCCATTTTCCCATTTTGTGTATAGCCAGCTAGCATTGAGTTGTAAGAAACCAAATCCTTTACTGGCATCTGCTCAAACACTTTCTTAGCATCATTGAACTGACCCATCTTTGCATAACCAGCTATCATCGCATTCCAACATGCAGTGTCCAACTTATCAGGAACCAGCTCAAGCAGTTCTCTAGCCTTTTCAAGCTTCCCTTTACGCGTATAACAAGTTATCATCAAAGCCCATGAAAAATTGTCTCTTTCAGGCATTATGTCAAACAACTCACTGGCTTCTTTAACCATGTTGTTGTGAATATATCCAGCAATCATGGTGTTCCAAGAAACAAGGTTTCTTAGGGACATTTTATCAAACAGTTGTCGAGCATCAATAATTCTAGAATTTTTAGACAACACAGATATCATGGAGTTGTATGTTACAAGGTTTTTGTGGGTCATGTCAGCGAAGACTCTGATGGCCTCTTCAACTTTCCCCATTTTCCCAAGATTAATAATCTGCAAATTTTGGTTGAAGACATGTTTTCCTCCTTCACCTATTGATCTAATTCCAAGCTTAAGTTTCATTGTGCCTCACGTCGTGTCCTACGATCGATGAATGTTTCTTTTCTTTTTGAGAAAAGAGAGACTAAAACCTCAGAGTAGGCTTCGCAAAGAGAACGATGAAGCATTGCGAAGAATTAATATTTTATCTGTAATTCTTAGAGGTAAAATAATTTAAATATGGTAAAATATAAATAATATACACAAAATATGATATTTTTGGTAAATTTAAGTGAATACGGTGTTTCAAAAATCACCATTGGCAAGATATTATGGAGACCAATGACATGGACATCTAAAAAATTGCCACTAACAACGTTTGATTACACTGCAATGGATCTTTCAAAAATCGCCATTAGCGAGATATTTCGAGAACTCAAACAAACCTGCGATATGGAGACCGAATGACATGAACATTTGAAAAATTGCCACTAGCGATATTTGACCACACTGCAATGAATCTCTGAAATCGCCATTGACCCGAATTGAAGAGCGGTTCAAATTGAACTGTTCTACAATTCAGACTTATAAGAGCAACTTTATGGTAATTGCCAATAAATACCGAGTTTTTCATTCTTTGTAAATTGCAAGAGTAAGATTTTAGATAGAGAGTAAGCGGAGAGGAAACATTTTAGATAGAGAAAGTGAGTTTATCATTGAAAAAAAAATGGGTGTACTTTTATTGATTTACTTTAATGGTGAGATTATTACAAATACTTGTGAAGGTATGTTATTTAGGTGTGAAAGGCCAACATGTGTATATATGAGAGAGAATGTATCATTTGAAGAACTGCAGCATTGGCTTACTGAACATATTGTATTTGAGTTTTCAAAGGCAGTGAAAAGTATTGTTTATAGGTGTCCAGTATCAATATTTGGAGGTTTCGTACAATATAAGATACTTCCAATAACAAATGATGCTGATATTTTACAAATGTTTTAAATATATCAACAGCGTCATCCGCCAACTCCTGCCATTGAGTTATATGTTTTTTTCAAAGACATTGCAGTTAACATTGATGAAGAAGATGCTGATGAAACATATGCAAGCAGTGTACCAAACAGAGATATAGAATGGATAAATGCTAACAATGAAAGTGTTAACTCTGACCCTGAAGGAGAATATGGAAGCAGTGAGTTGAGTGAAGATGAAGATATGGATGACAATGGTTATGATAAGATCCATTTGTCAAACACAGTAAGTGGCCAACATCCATTTGGAGAGCCACCTTTCATGCATTCATTAAATCTTGATACTATGCACGCAATAGTTTTCAGAGTATGCAAATTTAGGTATGTCTTATTTTTAAAAATGTTGTTGATGAATTAAATTATAGTTTTTTAATTTGTTATATTTGTGTTTGCATTTCATAGGTTTTTCTTATGTAGATGGAGACTTGTATATTGAAAAGCAATTTAATGATAAAGAGACTGTTATACGAACAATTAAGTGTTATACAAACAGAGTAGACTACAAAGTGGATGAGTCAGAACCAAATACATTTTATTGTAAATGTGTGAGGTATGGAATAGATTGTGAATGACTTCTTCGTGCTAGCTTTAGAAGGAACGAGTTTATTTGGGAGATCAGAAGGTACAATGGTCCGCACACATGTACAAGAGGAAAGATTTCTCAGGATCATACTAAATTAGATTCAGACACAATTGCAGAATGTATAAAGCCAATGGTTGAGTCTGATCCTTCCTTTAAGATAAAACTTGTTATTAGTAAAATTCAGTCTCGATATGGCTATACAACAACATATCGAAAAGCATGGATGGAAAAAAAAAAGGCGATTGAAAAAGTTTATGGACAATAGGAAGCCTCATTTGAAGCCTTACTGCAATGGTGTTCAGCGATGTGTGACAGTGTTCGAGGTTCTGTTGTTCAGTTAGATGCTGTCGATGCTTACCGTGCGGATGAGTTAGTTTCCAATGTTAAAATATTTCGTCGAGTGTTTTGGACTTTTTGTCCTTGTATTAGAGCATTTAGATATTGCAAACCACTTGTGCAAGTTGATGGGACACATTTATATGGAAAATACAAGGGAGTTCTCTTAGTGGCTGTTGCACAAGATGGTAATCAGAATATTTTGCCAATTGCTTTTGCTATTGTTGAAGGGGAGACTTCGAATGCCTGGTTTTTTTCTTTGATCATTTACGCAAACACGTTGTCACACAAGCTGGCGTTGGTATAATTTTAGATCGACACGAGTCAATTAATGCAGCAATAAGAAGAAGCAATGGAGAGTGGGAACCACTGAGAGCCTTTCACATGTATTGTATTCGGCATATTGCAGCAAATTTTTTACGAAGATTCAAGGCTCCATACTTGCACAAACTTGTCATCCGCATGGGTATGTATCACGATGTTGATGTATTTTAAATAAAAATGTTATATGAATTAATATATATTTTAAATTAACTAATATGAATCGTGTCAATTTTTGCAGGTTATTCAAGAACTGAACGTGAATTCAATATTTATTATGACAGATTACGGGAACGTGGGGAGGTCTACTCTAACTGGGTTGATGAAATTCCTCTAGAGAAGTGGGTTCTAGCATTTGACAGAGGCCATAGGTGGGGCCATATGACCACAAATCTAGTTGAGTGCATTAATTCAGTGTTAAAAGGTGCTCGAAATCTTCCAATCACAGCATTATTAAGAACAACTTACTTCCGATTGGCTGAGTTATTTGCTCGTAAAGGGAGTGAAGCATATGCACGGAGAAAGGCTTGACATATTTTCTCCGAATATGTGACAACTCGATTACAATCAAATGAGTTAGGTGCAAGAAACTTATGTGTAACTCAATTTGATAGACTAGCTGAGAGTTTCCATGTTCAAGAGTTATCAAACAGCCAAGAACATAGAGTTGATCTTAGACGAAGGTACTGTGACTGTGGTGATATGCATACTGATAGATATCATGTCGTTACGTAATTGCTGCATGTTGTAGTAAAAACATTGATTGGCGTGGCTATGTTGATAATGTTTATACAATCAAGGAAGTTTGCAAGGTTTATAAGAAGGAGTTTGCAGTAATTGGGAATGAAAGCACATGGTGTCATTATATAGGACCAAAACTCTGTCCTAATCCCAGCTTAAAGCGCACAGTTAAAGGTCGTCCCAAATCAACTCGCTTTCTTAATGAAATGGATATGCATGAAATGAGAAGACCAAAACAATGTAGTCGTTGTCGAGTAGAAAACCATAGTCGAAGGCAATGTCCTCATGCTCCAGGACCAAGTTCATGATGTGTAGCTGTGATACTAAATTGTGTTGAACCACTTATTTTGATATAATTATTTTTAATTTCATAGTTTTGTAGTTGTTCAAAATATTCACTTATGTCTTGTTATGTCTTGTGATATTATAATATTTGTTCTTATTATATTTTAATTTCATGGATTAATTAAAATTAAAATTAATAACAATTATAATAAATATAACCAAACAAATTAAAATAACTGATTAAAAATCTCATTACATAACGACGTGAACTAATCAAACAAAATAAAATAACAGATAACAACATGACTCTTACATTACATAATAAAGTAAGCAAACAATAACTTCATGACTATCCTCCTTTGCCCTTTTTTTTCTTGATTAGTGACGGATTATATCTATCAGGAGCTTGAATAAAGGGACGTAATAGACGTGAAAAAAATCCCCTACGTCTTTCTCCTGTATCTACATCATCACCCACACCCTGCTCTTCCTCCTGCTTATGCTCTTGGTCCTGCCTCTGTTCCTCTTCATGACCAGATGTTTGACTAAATGTGCTATCTTGTTGTGTGACATCCCATGACATTAGTGGCAAAGACCATTCATCACCTGGTGAGAATATTCCTTGAGATACAACCTCATACTCTGCTGTCATTGGTTGTGGTCGTTACACATCCTTCTCGTGTACTGGTGCTTCTTCTACAACTGCGACCTCATTTAAGTCAAAGTTACAAGGATGATTGTGTTGAGAACTTTGACCTTCATCAACCCCAAAGTCATATGTGCACATAAATTGACCAGATATCACAGTTGCACTATTATAATCAACAGACCTCCTACCTTGAGATTCTCTGCTTCTTGATCCATCACGACTATTCCTTATATCTACAGACATTCGTCGTTCTTGTTGAGGTAAGGGTTCTTCGTCCCATTGAAATGGCTGCCACTGGTTCATTTCTGGTGACCAATAATATTCCTAATTTGGTTGAAGTGCAGATGGTGGCATATCCTGATGTATCGGTGATGTATCCATGGGAATGACATCAAGATGGGAAAGTAGTGGCTCATCAGGGAATGGCTGCTGTTCTGGTGATGGTTGTTCCCTTTGTGGGCATAACTATAGCCAATTTGCTTCATAAATTGTGTACCATGTCCAATATTCATCAGAAGAATAATAGTTATTAACTGGCAATCCTTGTATGATACGTTGATATCGATGCTCCCACATTATGACCCAATCATCATAAATGATCCTCCAGTTTTTTGGTTCTCTTATGCCTCGTAAATCTTTGTTATGAACCGCTTCTAAATTTTCAGGTGGTCGAGGAATAGGTTCGGCAAATCCAAATTGTCGCATGACACGATCAGCTGCGTGCCACTTTATAACTTCAAAACAAATCAAAGGGCTCACGATTGACCACATAAAACGTTCTCTTCGCACATCATCTGGAATTAAAGCATCAATATCATCATCCTCAAATGGTCGCCATAGAAACTGTATTAAATAAGAAAATATTAATGTTATAATCTGACAAATACAAAAATTAAATATCCTAATAATGACAATAACGTTATATGAATATACCTCATTAACACCCATTTGATCCAGTGCTAATCGAATACTCCCAAGATTCTTAAACGGTGAGTTTGCTAGATATCGCATTTTTCTCCATCTCAAAATAAGTGAAAATACTATTGGTTCACCAGGGATTGGTGCCAACCATGGTAATTGGTGTCAGGCCCATACTTGCAACAATATTACACACCCACAAATTTCTTTGGCATCAAGTCGTGAACCAC